GGGTGGGCCCTGTCCACCTGGTGAGGCCGTTGGAGCCCCCAGAGGGGCATGGGGCTGAGGCACAGCGGTCCCTGCCCTGCTCTGGGAATTTGCTTCCACTTCGCCTGGGCCGGGAGTGCCCGGGAGAGGGTGGCCAGGTGGGGCCTGGCGGCCAAGGCGCCAAGTGCCCTGCAGGGTGGGCTGAGGCTGCCCCACCTCCTGCCTGACCCAGCTCTGCTTCTCTCTCGTGTAGGTGGGGAACCTGGGCCTTCTTTTCATGCTCCTGTTTTTTATCTATGCTGCACTGGGAGTGGAGCTGTTCGGGAGGCTGGGTAAGCGGCCCCCGCCTGCCACTCCAGGCACATGTGGGGTCCTGGCAGGCTGAGGCTCGTGTCAACGCAGAGGCATGCACCCAGCTATGACATACGTGTGCGGGCGTGCACACAGGAGCACAGACACAGGGATGCCTGCCACACACAAGAGCGAGTACACGTGGACACAATGCGCACACATACGTGGAAACGCCACCGGCCCCAACGCCACGTGGTCCCAGGAGATGCATGCTGGCTATGTCCCCTTGCCTGGTGGCTGTAGCCTCCACCTGGGCCTCAGCCTTGGCCTGGGCTGGGCAGGGCAGGTGGGGACCCTCCTCAGACAGCCCAGCCCCACCCCTGCCAGGTCCCTCCCGGGTCCTTCCCCAGGGCCCTGTCCTGACAGTGGGCGTGGCATCGCCATGGCCTGTGTCTGTCCACCGAGCAAGCTCAATTCCAGTCACCCGGCTCCTCCTTAGCCCCCAGCACGCACAGTCACAGACACAGACACTAATGACTCTTCCAGGGCCCGGGGTCACCACAGCCAGCCCAGGTGTGGCAGCGGAGGCCTCGGCCCAGGGGCTCTGGCTCACACCAGGGTTGGCCCCTGCCAGCCCGGTTGGACCAGCACGGCCTCGTCATCTACGTCCTCTGGGCCCCCCAGGGTGCATGTGGGGACCAGGTGTGTGTCCCACCCCCACCCAAGCAGGCGAGGCTGACGGGGGCGCACCTCCCTCCCACAGAGTGCAGTGAGGACAACCCCTGCGAGGGCCTCAGCAGGCACGCCACCTTCAGCAACTTCGGCATGGCCTTCCTCACGCTGTTCCGCGTGTCCACGGGGGACAATTGGAACGGGATCATGAAGGTACCCGGCGGCCCCAGCTGTTTTTCAGGCTCTCCCGGGGACAGGCCCGGGTCCGTCCCGGCCGGGCAGGGGGAAGGGGCGGCGCCCGCAGGTGGTGTGGACCCCGGCCGGCAGCTGCCCCCCACCGCAGGACACGCTGCGAGAGTGCACCCGCGAGGACAAGCACTGCCTGAGCTACCTGCCGGCGCTGTCGCCCGTCTACTTCGTGACTTTCGTGCTGGTGGCGCAGTTCGTGCTGGTGAACGTGGTGGTGGCCGTGCTGATGAAGCACCTGGAGGAGAGCAACAAGGAGGCCCGTGAGGACGCAGAGCTGGACGCCGAGATCGAGCTGGAGATGGCGCAGGGCCCCGGGGACGCGCGCAGGGCGGATGCGGACGGGCCTCCCTCGCCCCAGGAGAGTCGGGGTGCTGGGGATGCCCCGAACCTCCTGGTTGCGCGCAAGGTGTCCGTGTCCAGGATGCTCTCGCTGCCCAACGACAGCTACATGTTCCGGCCCGTGGCGCCCGCCCCGTCGCCCCGCCCTCGCCCGCTGCAGGAGGTGGAGATGGAGACCTATGGGGGCAACGCCCGCTCAGGTGCGGCTGGCGGCGGGAAGGTGTGGGCTGGGCGGGAAGCAAAGCAGGGTGGGTGGGAGGGGGAAGGGCCCCAGGCGGGGAGGAATATGGGGGCAGGTGGGAGGCAGGGCGGGTCTGGCCAGAGCTGGCAGGAGGGAGGGTAGGTGGGGAGGAGGATGGGGACAGGCAGGAGAGAGCGGGGAGGCTAAGGGCAGGTGAGACGCAGGATGGGCTGCTGGGAGGGAGGACTGGGGTGGGTGGCTTAGAGGGAGGGCAGGTCAGGCTAGGCTGGACGGGAAGGAGGATGGGCAGGAAGCAGGACGGCGCTGGGTTTCGGGGGGATGGCGGTGGGTTTCGGGGGGACGGCGCTGGGCTTCGGGGGGACGGCGCTGGGTTTCAGGGGGACGGCGCTGGGCTTCGGGGGGACGGCGCTGGGTTTCAGGGGGACGGCGCTGGGTTTCGGGGGGACGGCGCTGGGTTTCAGGAGGATGAGGGTAGGCGGAAGCTGGGCAGAAAGGCAGGGGCAGAGCTGCCAGCTTAGGTGCTTCCCTGCCTCAGGCTCGGCCACCTCTGTGCACTCACCGCCTGTGGAGTCCTGTGCCTCCCTCCAGGTCCCATTGGCTGTACCGTCTCCAGCCAGGAGCAGCGAGTCCTCCCACACCCTGTCCCCCCGGGGCACAGCGCACTCCCCCAGCCTCAGCCGGCTGCTCTGCAGACAGGTAGGAGAAGCCTTGTCCTGCAGCGGAGGCTGGTTGGGGTGGGGGCTGGCAGGGACGCCTTCTGTCATCTGAGGTACCAGCAGACGAGGACTAGGCCCAGGGAGGGTGGCACTGGGTGCTTGGGGCTCCGAAGTTCTCTGCCTGTTACTTGCTGGGTCTTGGGGTGTTGGGCCCAAATGGGCCCTCAGGCCTGTGAGCTTGTGGCCACAGAGCACCTGGCTACAGGGACCTGAGTCTCCTTGGACCCACAGCCTCAAGCCTTATGGTGGGCAGATAGCGGTTTCTTAGGCCTCATGGTGGGCAGTCCTGGCTCGTGCCCCAGCCTCCCCCACCTGCACCTCAGCTCCTGTTCGTGCCTCTCCCTACTCCTGCACCGTGTGGGAGCACTTAGGAGAACCCCATCCTGGGGCTGCCCAGCTGGGCTGCTGGTGTCCAGGGGCACGGAGCTGGCCTCAGCCTCGGCTCTGTGCCCGTGGGGGTCACCTGCCCACGACATCACTTCCTGAGGAGCAGTGGGTAGAGGCTTTCCCATGGAGCCTCACAGGTCAGGGGTGAGAGTGGGATGCCCTCACCAGTGCCTTCCAGCCCAGCCCCGTCTCGGGGGTCAGGTGCCACCCAGGAACCTGCCCACTTTGGCCTCTTCAGGACAGGATGGCAGGGGGTCCCCAAGCCCTGGCCACTGGCAAGGCCCTCCCAGGGTCCAGCTCCTCACTTTGACCCCCCTGACAAGGCCCTCCCAGGGTCCCTCTGCTCACTTTGACCCCCACTGACGAGGCCCTCCCAGGGTCCCTCTGCTCACTTTGACCCCCACTGACGAGGCCCTCCCAGGGTCCTGCTTCTCACTTTGACTCCGTGCCCCTGCAGGAGGCTGTGCGCACAGATTCCTTGGAGGGGCAGATTGATAGCCCTAGGGACACCCTGGACCCTGCAGAGCCTCCCGAGAAACCCCTAGTGAGGCTGGCGTCCCAGGGGGGCTCCCTGCAGTCCCCCCAGTGCTCCTCGCGGCCCACCAGCGTCCGCACCCGGAAGCACACCTTCGGACAGCACTGCGTCTCCAGCCGGCCGGCGGCCCCAGGCGGACAAGAGGCCGAGGCTGCCGACCCGGCCGACGAGGAGGTCAGCCACATCACCAGCTCCGCCTGCTCCTGGCCGCCGGCGACTGAGCCCCATGGCCCCGAAGCCTCTCCGGCACCCTGCAGCAGCGAGCGGGACCTGCGAAGCTTCTACAGCGTGGACGCCCAGGGCTTCCTGGACAAGCCGGGCCGGGCGGATGAGCAGTGGCGGTCCTTAGCGGAGCCGGGCAGCGGGGAGCCTGGGGAGGCGAAGGCCTGGGGCCCTGATGCTGAGCCTGCTCTGGGCGCGCGCAGGAAGAAGAAGATGAGCCCACCCTGCATCTCCGTGGATCCCCCTGCAGAGGATGAGGCCTCCTCAAGGCCCCCTGCCACGGAGGGCGGCAGCACCACCCTGAGGCGCAGGACCCCGTCCTGTGAGGCCGCCCCTCACAGAGACTCCCTGGAGCCCACGGAGGGCTCGGGTGCCGGAGGGGACCCTGCAGGCAAGGGGGAGCGCTGGGGCCAGGCCTCCTGCCGGGCCGAGCACCTGACTGTCCCCAGCTTTGCCTTCGAGCCGCTGGACCTCGGGGGCCCCAGTGGAGACCCTTTCTTGGACGGTGGCCACAATGTGACCCCAGAACCTAGAGCTTCCTCTTCAGTGGCTGTAGCACCCCTGGAACCCCCAGAAACAGAGCCTGCCATGCCCGACAGTGACCCCCCAGAGAAGAAGCAGGGGCTATACCTCACAGTCCCCCAGTGTTCTCTGGAGAAACCAGGGTCCCCGTCAGTGACCCCTGCCCCAGGGGGTGATGCAGAGGGCCCCGTGTAGCTCAGGGCTTGGTGCTGCACAGGGCTTTGGCACTAGGCTCTGGGGGCCCCGGCGGGGTGGTGGCCCAGGCAGAGCCGTGCGTGGACCCTGACTTGGGTCCTATCGTGGGCAGGGGCGGCAGGGGATGGCAGTTGAGGTGGACGCCGGCAGGCGCTCCTTCGCTGCCCAGTGAAGCAGGGGGAGGTGCTGGGTCCCGCGAGCCTGCGTCCGTTCCGGTTCAGGTTCCTCTAAGAGTTTTGCTGCCAGCCAAGGCTGTGTGGCGGTTGTGTCAGTGTTCCATCATGAGAGAAGCCACATCTGTGGGACAGAGACCAGGCACCCGCCAGAGAGGGGAAGGTACCCAGCTGCGTCCTCTCAGGCCACGCGTTGTTACGGGACACTCGCTGGGGGCCTGTGCCCTTGCCAGCAGAAGGTGCGGCCACTGCGACCCGATGTCACCTTCACTCACAGTCTGTCCTTGTCTGCCTGTCACGCCCTCACCACTCTCCCCTTCCAGCCACCACCCTTTCCGTGCCACCCAGGCGTTCCCAGAACCGTCCGCGACTCTGGGGGATGCCAACATCACTAAGGATGTAACGCGCCCAGCCATCACTAGGGGCTTCATGGTGGAGGAACGCGCCCGGCCCCCATGCGAATCGGGCCTCCCCTCCGTCCAGGGGCTTTGGCCGAGAGATTCCAACTGACACCTTAGTTTTGTGTGCTTTTAAATTCAGGTTCAATGTTGCAATAATCTAATGCAGAAGACTCAGCTTCTCAAGTCAAGGGAGAGAGAGGGGCAGAGCAACGGAATAAATAATAACTTATTTAAGAAACGCTCTTGGACTCCTGCCATCATGAGTTGGGGTGGGGGAGGGAGCACCACCCCCAGACTGACACAGCAGGCACTTGGCCACCAGGACGCAGGAGACCAGCAGAAGGAAGAGGCCGGGGAGGAAGAAGCCAGCCAGGAGGAGGAGCCTGGGAGACCCAGACCCTGAGACCTCTGATGCCAGGATGTGGCGGCGGATCCAGTTCACATAGGCAGGGACGAGGGTGTAGACCCCCGGCCTGTCGGGGCGGCCACAGCCCTCACCCCAGCTCACAATGCCGGCCTGCAGCCAAAAACCATTCACCTGGCAGACCAGAGGCCCTCCGGAGTCATCCTGAGGGCAGAGAAGGCAAGGATTGGGAGCCAAGCAACTGGGGAGCCCCCTCCCTGGGCTGCAGGCACCCCCATCCTCCATCATGGCCTGGTGGGCTCACCTGGCAGGCATCCCCAGGGCCCCGGGCACACAGCATATCGGGCTGAAGGACGCTGCCCTCAGGGCTGAGGTAGTCTTGGCTGCAGGCCTCTCTGTCCACCACGGAGACTTCCACCTCTTGCAGGCTGTATGGAGGTGGCAGAGGCTCTAGGGTGAGGGGACAGGCGTCAGGGAAGGTTGGGGCACCAGCCCCTGCGTTGGGGGAATGGGGGCCTTCTCCTGAGTCCCATACCAGTGACCCTCATCACTGGCATGTGGGTTATGATGGCATTTTGGTCACTGCTATGGATCCACACAATAAGTTTTGAAAAGAGACAGCCAACAGGAGTGGCCTTGGCTGGGTGTAGAGGCTACCAGGAGCAGGTGGTGGCATAGGTGTCCCTTGAGCCAGCTCTCTTTTGGCTGCCCTGCCCTTCCTCCGTCCCAGCGTCCCCCCAGGGCCCCTCACCTCCTTCCTGCGTATAGCCCCAGCCGGTCACCCAGCACCGGGTCCCAGGGCAGAAGTCAGCCGAGGCTTCCGGGAGGCAGACGGGCAGGATCCAGCTGGAGAGGGTCACAGGGACGCTGAGCTGCACCAGGGCAATGTCCCCGCTGGACCCCGGCGGTCCCGGGGGGCTGGAGTGCAGGATGATACGCCTCACGGTGGAGAAGTGGGAAGACAGAGTGATCTTCAGTTCTCCCAGGTGCACCTGGTAGTCGGATGCGTTCAGGGACCTGGGGGGAGGGTGGCCGAGTTTTGGGGGCATCAGTGCCCTGAGGGGTTGGCTGCAGAGGTCAGCGTCAGCCCCGCCCATACCCCACTTCTGCGGGCGTCCAATGCCCACCTCTCCTCTCCTGAGCTTAGGACACAGAAGCAGTTCTGGGTGTTGGGGACAAAGCCTGGACCATGGCCTTGCCCTCCAGAGCCCAAGGACCGTGGTGGCACCTTGGGGATCCTGCCAGCACCCAGGAGGGAAGCCAGCAACACTCCCGGCACCCGGAGGGGCTAGGCAGGAGGCGGATTGTACGTTCAGCTCCGCTTGAAGAGACGGGCTGGGAGGGACGGAGGGAGCTGCCTGCCCTGTGAGGTGAGCCAAGACAGGCAAACCTCACAGAGCGTGGGCAGTCAGCTCCCCCGTCCACTAACGGGAAATACTGAAGAGTTCCCAGGCCTCAGAGTGAGTCAAGACCAAGTGGAGGCCTCTGCCCCGCCCCGTGACCCACTCAGGCCTGGACGTTCAGACTTCGCCTGCCCACCCAGACACTCACCCGGAGAAGCAGTGGGCAGCCGTGAGCACCCACTGGGGGCTGAGCAGGGACCCACCACACACGTGCACCCTCCGCAGGCGGAGGCTGGCCTGCCATGGCCATGCGCCGGCCGGGGCCACGTGGCCTCCCACAATTCGGCCTCCTGCATCCGAAACCTGCCGGCCACATCCTAAGCCAAAGGAGGCAGGGGTGGCTGGTCGGGATCCCAAGAAGCCCCCTGCCCTCCCTTCAGGAAGCCTTCCCTGACCACAGTTCCCTGACTTTCCTCTTCAGTGCCCCCGTCTGCCCGACTGTCCCCAGAAGCATCATGGGTGCAGCAGAAATGGCACCCCAGGAGCCGTGAGTGTGCCCAGTGCCCAGGCTGCAGTTTCTAAGCACCACGCCCCACAAACTAACCAGGGCTGCCGAGGGCACCTGGGAGGCTAAAAAGGGGATCAGGGAATGGTGGAGTCCCCGAAAGGCCCAGGATGCTGGGGGCGGCTGCCTCGTGGGCCCCGGGTTTCCTTCAGGAGTGATGGAGATGTCTGGAGCTAGACGGAGTTGGGGGCACACGGCACTGTCCAGGGTCCCCAGGGCCTCTGAATTGGACCCTTGCTAATGTAGCTTTATCTTCTGTGAACTTCACCTCAGTAAATTAAAAAGAAGTAAGAGGAAGTCAGCTCGAGGGCCACTGGCCACGTCTGGGCCAGCCTGAGCTGGAGAATTAGGAAGGAGTGTGGCACACGGCTGAATGGAGCAGGAAGCTGGACGGAGACAGACGTAGGTGTTTAGAGAGAGGGGTGGGGTGCACTGTGCTCTCCCGCACAGCGGAGCCCCCTGGGGGGACCCGTGCCTTGGTAGGACACTGTGGGGAGGAAGCTTGAGGAGGGCCGGGTGGTCTTCATGGCCTCAAAGCATCTCCCAAGATACGAGCTAACTGCAGTGGTCGGGGAGACTGCCCCCCTCAACTGAGAGATGTGAGCAGAAACCGCCATGGCCTCCTGGTCCCCGGTGGGACCCCCCGGGAAAAGGCAAAGTCACCTTGAGGTTCTTCTGCCCGGCCTCACCTGCACCCACCCCCACACCCCTATGGGAGACCTACCTGGCTCCAAAGCCCTGAGGGACACACCTGCGGGAAAGAGACGGAGGGCCGGGGGTGGAGGGGGGCTGCCGAGGGGAGGGGTGTGCAGGCCCCTGCGAGGCGCCCGCCAGGCCTCAGGGTGACACTGGGATGGGGCCCATTCCTTAGCTGAGAAGCCCGGCCTGGTGAGGCTGGGCAGCCACTGTCTCACTGGCCCAGGGGTGGGTGGGACCAGCCGAGGGCCATAAACAGCAGCAGGAGGCCGGGAGCGTGGCCTCAGGCGTGGGCCTCCTCCCCACCCTCCAGGTCCTGCTCAGGGGAGAAGTCAGCAGGGTTCTGGGGCCTGGGGCTGCCGGCACCCCAGCTCCTTCAGCTCCCACCCGCACCTCTTCCTGCCTCCGTCCGCAGGCACTGATGGCTGGACCTCCAGCCAGAGCTACAGTCTCTGCCATGGAGGCACGGGGCGCCCCAGGGTGGGGACTCAGCGTGTTTCTTCATCTCGGGCAAGCCCCCAGCTTCACCCCCACCCCTGCCAGGGGTCCAGGCAGGAAGCAGATGCCCCCCCATCCCCACACCCAGGACAGGTTACCCACCAGGCACCACCAGGAGCAGCAGAAGGCCACGGGCCCTGAGGGCCATGGTGTCTGCCACTGCAGGGAGAAGTAGGAGGGCCCGCCTGACCCTTGGACCTGCTGGGCGTGGGGGTAGGGGTGGCCGCGCACCTGCTGTTGGGCAGGGCAGGAGGCTGGAGGAGGCCGGAGCGCCGCAGACGGCCCCACCTGTTCCTTCTGCATACCTGGAGATGAGGGTGGTCACCATTTATCCCTGTGTGGACGCCACAGCCCTGGCACCCGGTGGCCAGCCTGACTCACAAGGCATAGTAGGGAAGGACAGAAGGCAGGTGCTGCTTCGCACCCTAGCTCTGCTCCAGGGCGAGAGCTGAGAGAGAGGTAGGTGTTCCTATGGTGCCACCTCCTCCAGGAAGCCCTCCCTGACTCTCTCTCTGCTTCATCCTTGGAGCCAAGTCCTTGGGGTTCTTCAGGAGTGTCCCAGCCCAAGGCCCAGCAGCCCCATGGAGACAGCTCAGGCCCCCATGACAACCCACCCTTCGAGAAGTCCCTGTCCCCACATCTATCAGCAGGTCCCATGCTCACGCCACAGATCAGATGGGCACGATCTCCCGGCCCAGCCCTGGTGGGCCCTTCCTAACCGTCCTGGCTGCCCCGGCCTGATGACTCAGCTGATAAGGGGCCCTGGGCAGTGCTCAGGACTTCCCTGCCCCCCTCGCCAGATCCAATTCACAGGCCAGGCCAGAGGGTCCGTCTTAGGTCGGGGATCCCCTCTTCGATGTGGGGAAACTGAGGCACGGGGGGAGTTGCCTGACACCCCACCAGGATGTGGCCTCCCGGGCACAGACTTGGCCTCCTGCACGCCGGCACCTGGGGCAGCCACGGCTCAGAGCTGCGGGTTCAGTGTTCGCCCTCGTGACAAAAATGACACCAGCCCCTCTCTCTGCATTCGGGACGGCAGAGCACCCACCACGGGGCCCCCTCCTCCCTCACAGCAGTGACACCTGGAGGGGGTGTCGGGGGAGGCAGGGCAGCATCATCCATAGAGAGAAGTGGGACTGAGCCTCGAGTCCCTGGCCCAGGGCACCCCTACCCAGGACAGTGTCACCCAGTGCAGGGGGAGCCTGAGGGGCAGGGTCTTATGGAGCCGGGTCCTCCAGTCCTGACGCCCCAGGGCCGTCCCCAGGTCCCCCAGGGCCTTCACCTGTCCCAACCTGGTTCACCTGCAGCACCAGGGACCCCATCTCTCCACCTGTACCCCATCTCTCCGCCTGTACCCCATCTCTCTGCCTGTACCCCAGCATGCCGCTCCCCGCAGAGCACGCCACACCGCCCAGATTGCAGGCCCGAACCCTGTGACATGGCATCATTCCCTCCCCATTTGACAGGAGAGCCAGCTGAGGAACAGGGAGAGGGGCCTGGCCCTGGCGATGGCTCCCGAGTGGTGGGGTCTCCAGTAGCCTAGGACCCGGGGAGACCTGGGGTTGCTTCTGTCTGCAGTGGCCTGGGCACTGTCCCCTCGGTGGATACCCTGTCTGACCACAGAGGATGGACCCCTGCCCCCCCCATCCCCCTTACAGCCCCTGTGACGGGGAACCAGGGCCTCCTGTCAACAGCCACGTGGGTGACCTTGGAGCAGGTCCCCAGTCCCAGTGGAAACTCAGGTGGCTGCAGCCCCGGCCAGCAAGCAGCCTGCCTGCCACGTCCTGAGAGCCCCTTCCTGCCGAAGCCCATGCTCTCTTCTGCCACTGTTGCTGGACCAAGCCTCGCTGAGCTTCCCAGGGACCCTAGATCTAATTCGGGAAGCCCTGGGGCTGGAGCCTGCCCGGCGCCGCGCCCAGTGACCAGGCCCTGGAGTCCCCCATCCCTTATGCCAGAAGCCATGTCCTGAGGGACCACGTAGCTTCCCTTCGGGGTCTCATTCCTCCAACTCCTACCCCACTAAACCTCCACTGGAATTGTGGAAATGTGCTTCTAAGCAGAGCCCTTAGAAGGGCTGAGAGCAGGGACTGGGGGTCACCCGCTGTCCGTGCTAAGTGGGATAAGACACAGCACTGGCCAGACACGAAGGGCCCACGTGCTGGTGTAGAGAAAGACCTCAAAAAGTTTTAAAAATCTGAAACTCAGGCCGGGCGCGGTGGCTCACGCCTGTAATCCCAACACTTCGGGAGGCCAAGGCGGGCGGATCACGAGGTCAAGAGATCGAGACCATCCTGGCCCACATGGTGAAACCCCGTCTCTACTGAAAATACAAAATTTGGCTGGGCATGGTGGTTCATGCCTGTGGTCCCAGCTACTCGGGAGGCCAAGATGGGAGGGTCTCTTGTGCCCAGGAGTTCAAGGCTGCAGTGAGCCCAGATCACGCCTGTCCACTTCAGCCTGGACGACAGAGAGACCCTGTCTCCAGACAAACAACTGGGCAAAGCAGAGGGGCGGGGGAAGGGCGTCGTGGGAAACGCAGGGGGAGGGGCTCCCGGCCAGCGTGCTCTGTCTTGACCCTGGTGTAGGGACCTGGCTGCCCTTTACAATCATCTTTCCAGTTGCCCGAGTGGTTCTGTGTGACCCGAATGCTGGAGGCATCGTGCGGGGAGAAGCTGGCCCCGGGGACCAGGGCGCTCAGGAAGCCGCGCCCCACGGTGACAGGCTGCGCTTTGGGGGGCTGGGACCCCGCAGCTCCGGCAGCTTCCTCAGCACACCTGGGGCCCTCCTCCCCCAGCGACACCCACAACCAGAAGCACAGCGACACCCACACCAGTGATTTTCATGCACTTTAATGAGATGCAGCCCTCAGGGGGGTCAGCGCCTACCACCTGCTACGTGGGCAGGGGGCACCGGAGGGCTGGTATCCGGGCTTGGGCTCAGGACCAACCAGGGGAGGGGGCTCAAGATGGGGAAGGGACTCGGGACAGAGCAGGGTGCCCAGGACAGGGAGGGGCACTGAGGATGGGGCGGGGCAGGTGTGGGGGCAGATGCCACCTGAGTAGGAAGCAGTGGTGTTGGAGACAGGCGGGGAAGGCTCTCCAGTGACCCGGGTCACCACCTGCAGGCCTGGCTCAGGGCTTCTTGGGCACGTATTGGTGGATCCAGTCCAAGTAGTAGGTGACGCGGGTGTAGATGCCGGGCCGGTTGGGCTGGGCACAGCCCTCGCCCCAGCTGACCACGCCTGCCTGCAGCCAGGTGCCATTCACCTTGCAGACCAGGGGCCCTCCGGAGTCGCCCTGAGAAAGTCAGGGGTCAGCGCTTGCCAGCCAGGCCCAGGGGTGGGAGCTGTGGTTTGAGGGGTGGGGCACACTCAGGGCTCACCTGGCAGGAGTCCCTCCGGCTGTTCCCGGCACACAACATGTCATCACGGACGATGTGGACGGCGTCTCCCGTGTAGAGGCCGGTATGGTACTTGACGTCACAAACCTGGTTCTCCACAATGGGAACCTTCACCTGCTTCAGGGGAAACGGCGGTGGCAGGGGCTCTGTGGGTGGGGAGGAGGGTGCAGCCTCAGGAAGAAGCCGGCAGCACCCACCCGGATCCCAGAGGGAGCCCAGAAGCTGAACCCGGGCCCTGCCTCCCACCGTTCCCAACACAAACCATCATAATTCACGTCGCCCCAGCCGGTGACCCAGCACGGCGTCCCCGCGGGGAAGGTCTCCGAGGCAGGGGGCAGGGTGACCGTGCGGACGTGGCTGGAGATGTTCACGGGTTCCTCCAGCTCCAGCAGGGCGATGTCTGCCCCGTTCTCGGCAATGTAGAACTGGGGGTGCACGATGAGCCTGCTGACCCGCAGCAGCTGGTCCTTGTAGTAGAGGTGCTGCTCCCGCAGCTGCACCCTGAGGTCGGCCAGATCCTTGACATCCCTGGCAGCGGAGGCTCCACTCAGGCCCTGGGCAGCCCCCAGGAGCACCCGGGAGCCAGGGCACACCCAGCCCCACCCACCCCCCAGACCCCAGGAGACTCACGGGCCCAGGCAGTGCGCCGCGGTCAGCACCCACTGCGGGTGGATGAGGGAGCCCCCGCAGAAATGAATCCAGAACTGGCCGTGGAATCTCAGGCTCACCTGCCAGGGCCACCTGCTCCCGGGGGCCTCCTGCCCCCCGACGATGTCCGCTCGTGGCAGTGCCTGGCCTGGGGCTGGGGCAGGAGCCAGTTCAGGACCAGGAAGCAGCCCCACGCCTGGACCAGAGCTCCCCTGTGTGGGGGCCAGCCTGGCCTCCCCAGAACCCTCCCAGGCCCTGGCCTCTGGGACGTGGTGAGGGGCAGGGCGGTCCCCGGCTGGGACTCACCAGGGGCCGCGTGGGCCAGGCTTGCCAGGACGGGCAGCACCAGCAGCAGCAGGCTCAGCATCTGAGGAGCAAGAAGGGGCGGCATGAGCCCCGCTGGAGGACAGGGCAGGGCCGGGGCTGCAGAGTATGGGGTGCAGAATGAGCGGGGCGGGGGGACCGGGGCGGGTCCAGGGTCCAGGCCTGCTGGCCTGGGTCTCGGCGCTCTGGGTCTGAGGCTGGGCCGCTCTGCTCCAGGTGACGCTGATGTCAGGGTCTCTGAGAGTGGGGACTTACCCCGGCCGCTCCCTGTTCCTTCTACCCAGTGGGCTCTCCCCTCCCCATTTATCCCTCCAGACCAGGATGGGGCGGAGGAGGGGCGCTGCACCCTCCCATCCAGCGGAGGAAGTGGATGATTCAGACCTGGGGTCCCCATGTGACACAAGCCCTGATGACCTCTGTGTGTGGGGCTGCCAGGCCGGCCCTGCCGAGGGCTGAGCACTGGAGGCTTGCAGCTCCACCTGTCAGCTGTGGATCCCACACCGGAACGCACCACCTTCCTGCTGGTGGGATCAGCTCCTGCCCCTGCCCCAGTGCCAGGAGGCCTTCAGGCGCAGCTGCACCCAGGTCTGGCTGCCTCATGCTACAAGACCAGTCACCCCACAAGCTGTTTCCCCAAGAGGGACACGGGAAGAGGAACCCATGTCCATGGGCCACCCTCCAAGAGGCAGGAGGTGCTAAAGGGGTGGGGACAGGACTGGAGTCTCCCTCCTACAGACTCCAAATGATGGAGGGGGCAGCCCTCTCCTACTCCCCTGGTGGGGGGCTCACATGAGACCCCCTTGTCAGATGAGGACACAGCCTTGAG